TCTAGAAAAATCGTAAATAACTCATGATTTTACTATGATAACCGTAGTTTGACTTCTATACAAAAGCTTTCAGCACGAAATTTTAGTTATATGGGTATATCTAAATATCGAATATAAAGTAAATTAAAATTTGTGCTTAATGTTTATTAAGTGATCAGCATAACCTGTCACGGATTTCAGACATGCGAAATTATTTGCTGAATATTGTGTCGGTTAAGGATTTAGTATATAACTACAGTATAAGTATAAGCAATTGTATTTAGTATTCTCAATTATTATTAAAGAGTTTCTTTAGTTAAAAGTTTTTTAAATAGTTTAATTAGGTTTCGATTACGGTAAAAACTTTGATCAGTTATAGAAGATTACATAAAACACTGCTAATAATAGAACAGTATGTACTGTACAGTACATGCAGTGATGACGATTATCACACTAGATAGCTGCACGACATCATAGTGTAAAACCAGGAACGAAAAACTGGATAGTGGTTAAATTTGAATGAATAATATAACAATAAAAAAACAGATAGTTTATTATTAATTTAATTAGCTATATAAGAAAAGGTAATTTATCTAATCTTTGTTGTGTTTTAGTAGTGATTATTTAATAGTTATTGGAATAGTAAGTAATTTTGTAACAGAATTTTGGTTACAATATCTTATGATAAAATTTTGAAAATTTTAATATAAACTCACAGTAAGTTCTGTAACAGGATTTTTTTAGTAACTTATGAATAAATGTTAATTTCATTGTAAACTAATCTACCTTAAACAATCATAGTAGTCACCAAAATAGCCTGTAACAAAATTATTTGTAGTAACACATTAGAAAATTTTGAAACCTGATTATAATCGATTAAAATCATAAGACATAATCGATAATGATCACTCCATCGATTAAATGCTATAGAGATTTTAATCAATTATAATCGATTAATTTAACTCAATTGTAATCGATCATTATATTTATCAATAAATAAATTTTGATTAATTCGATTATCAATATTCCTGGCGATAATAATCGGTTAAATCAATCGATTATAATCAATTTAACTGCTTGTGGGTTTACTAATTCCCCCCACTTCCCATTGGACGAATACAAATATCGTTTTCCATTGGATTAAACCAATTACATTACTGATCTGGGTGGCTAAAAATTTTTAATGCACCGCAATTAAAAAATAAATTACTTCTCAAATATTATTTTTGCAATAATTACATGTTGATTAAAATTTTTTTCTCTTTTTTTTAAACAATTCTTTTTGTTTATTAATACTAAACGGGTTTCTCTTTTAAGTTTAGCATTTTCAATTTTTTTTTAACAGATAATTTCGCGTAAATGGTTGAATAAATTTTCACCAATTTTATTGAATATTATTGTAAAAATTTACTGTATCGTGTAAAATTTTTAATTGAAATAAACATACATACTTTAAGCCACACGGCTATTTGTATTTAATTATAATAGAAATTTCGAATATTGATGATATTTTTGACATCGAAGAGGATTTTGATATGGATATTAGTGAGGATAAGATTGACAATATGCTCAAATTCATTTTAGATACAACAAATGGTGTTGGACAAGAATGGGAAATTGTAGATGATAATCCAGAGATATCAAAGATGGAAAAAGTAAAAACCTATCAATTTCCAGTAAACGAATATAGGAAATGGATTAAGAATCTTGAAAAGGTGGGTCTTAGCTATTATTGTCACGATCATAAGACTAAAATAGAAGCGAAGAGGAAAAATGAATGGACAGAAAGGTGGTATTGTCATCGTCAAGGGGAATACAAAAGCATTGCCGGAAAAGATACAAATAAAAAACCTCGATTAGTACAAAAAGTAACAAAGAAATGTGGCTGTAAAAGCCACATTTTTGTTACACTTCTTGTTAATTCATCGACAGTGACTTTGAATTATTATTACAAGTATCTTAAATATCACCCTGGTTAACTATTAGACTTGTATATATTACCTCTTTCTGAAAATATTCACTAATTTATCCAACATCGTGCTCTTGAGGAGCTTGATATTTTTAGTATACAGAAGTTTATGCGGTTTCAGATGATTGAATTACAAGAACAGGTTTATTTAATTTTTTTTTACTTTTTTTTTTTATAATATCATATTTTTTTATAATATTGACTTTTTTTTTTATAATATCGATTTTTTTTTATAATTTCGATCTTTTTTTTTATAATTTGATTTTTTTTGATTTTTTTTGATTTTTTTTGTTTTTTATAAATTTGTTTCTAATTTTTTTTATAAATTTGTTATTTGTAAATTCTTTTTTTGTCTGTGAATCTGTCTTATACTGTATATGCATATATCCTGTATATAATAATTACTTGTAATTGTTGGATAAACAACCAACAATTACAATTAATTATTATATGCAGGCATATACATGAGACTAAAAAAATCTTCGATCCGGAAATAAGCGATAAATTCATTTTTTTATTTTTATTTTTTTATTATTCATTTTTTATTTTTATTTTTTATTATTTGTTTATTTATTTATTTCTTTTTATAAATTTGTTTTTTAAATTCGTTATTTACTTATTTATTTTTATAAATTCGTTTTTTAAATTTATTATCTATTTATTTTTTTTATAAATTCAGTTTTTATTCATTTTATTTATTTTTTTAATTTATAATTTTTTAGGTGCACTCGTTGAAAAATTCTGGGAATAACTCGCAAAATATACAGATGCTTTGAGATAGATTAATTACACAAAACGGTATTTACATGATAGTTTATAATACTATGAAGACATCGGCTTTCCTTGATAATGATGAGATTTATTCTTTAGAAAAGTGGCAAAGTAAGATAATTGACAAAGATGGGGTTTGTATATTAAAGAAGCATAATGAGATAGAAGATAACGGTTTTATGTTTATGTTCTAGACAAAGGAACAAAAAGAGTTAATAGAACTTGCATGAGTTATATGTTTGGATGGTATGCATGGAACAAATCACCACGGGTATCATTTATTTTCGCTTATTATATGGCATCCAATAGCGGGAAGTGATATTTAATTGTGTTCTTAATAAGCAAATTTAAAAAAACGGCGATGTTAAAATTGTGATTTGATTTTTTAATACGCAAGAATGAGTATTGGAAGCCTAATATTTTTATAGTGGATGATGCAGGCAAAGAAATTAAAGCTTGTAAAGAGTTTTTTCCTAACAGTTCAGTGTTTTTATGCCATTTCCACGTTTTGCGTTCTTGGCGCAGAAAATTGTGTTACAAAAGTGATGCAAACAAACAATTAAAAATTGTTTGGGAGGACCTCTGGAGGCTTATAAAGATGGAAGGATGGAATGATGCTAAAGCTCAAGTTCACATTAGGGAAATGATTAATCGATGGAGAGCAATGGGAGTAGAAAAAATAAATAATTTCACTAATTACTTTGTGTGCTGGTGGAAGCTGAAGTATGAGATGTGGATGGTTTGTTTAAGGGGACTGCATGAGATATGATAGACATAAATAATTTAATAGAGTCATTTCATTGTAAATTAAAATACACTTACATGAGAGGGTGACCAGGCAAGAGATAATCAATTTATTATTTATTAATACTAACTAAATATTATTTATTTTTATTTTTATAGTTTTTTATTTTAATTTTTATTTTTATTTTTATTTTATTTTTATTTCAGTTGACTAATTTCTCAATTTTTACCATTACAGGTTGACGGCTTGATGGTAAAGTGCACCTTCTTACAGAAGTTGTGCTTCGTGACATGAACTTGCTGTATTTTTAAATAAATTAAAAATTGGTAGAATGAGTCCATTGCAATAGCAACAATGAATTTGAGAAGCCGCTAGAACCAATAATATTAATAACAATAATGTTTATAACCTTTAGTCTAGTATTTGGATAGTACATTCTTTAATGATATTAAATACTCGGTATAAAGGAAAGATGATAGCGAGAATAGCTTTGATGTTGCCTCATACGTTTGTAATTGTTGTGATTTTCAATCACGACAATTACCATGCAAACATGTATTTTCTGTATTAGCGCAAATCAACATGCATAAGGTTACAGAGGATAATCAACAATTAGCAGAATCAGAATTTTTTAATTCTGATTGTTCATCCTATTTTACAGATAGGAATGCACAATCTACAAAGTTAGAAGAGGAGCTTGCTGCAATTGCAGCAGAATGGAAAGATAAAAAAGGAGATGATATTTATAGTTTACGAATAGCTCTCCAACAAGTCACTCAAGCAGAAAGAGCAAGAATTGCAAGGATCGAATCAGTTCTGCAAGCTTCCAGCACTGATTTACAAATAGATTAAATCCCACCAAATATGAAAATCTGAAAGCAAAATAAGTATTAATTTTTTTTTTGTTTTTATATAAATTTGCTAGCTAATTACTTGACAATTTAGCAGTAGCATTTATTTTCAGCATTAGCAAACTAGCACCTATTGCAGTGTTGTATTAGAGTTAATGTATGATTTCTGAAAACTATTTTCCCAAAAGAATATAATACATACTGACTAATTAAGTTCTTTCAGGAAAATGGCTTTCAAGATCTTGTTGTATTAGTATTATTAATTAGTTTGTAGAAGCATTTTATTTGCAGTATTTATTTGCAGTATTATATTAGTATCAAATAAAATGAAAAACTTTTTAAATTTTATGTCAATTATTTTCTAAACAAAAGTAAAAATCGCAGCACAGAATATAATTAAGGAATTTTGAAATGGAGTTGGGTATATTTTTAAATTACAAGCTTGTAAACGTAAGTTTCAGCTTAGTTGTGCCCAGAAACACTTATTTTAATGTTTTAGATTATTTCGATTTTTTTATTTTTTTTTACTAGCTTTCGTTTAACAAAATATTGATTATTATTTTTTTTTTTGAAAATCAAATTTGCAGCTGTGCTAAGTGGCATGATCTAATTAAAGATGGAATTTCAAACGTCCAATTGCAACTGGGGAGAAATTAGGGCTCCTACTTCTTGTAATCAATTATAATCAGGTTTCAAAATTTTCTGATGCATAATAAAAATTATGATAATTAAAAACAAACTAACTCAAACTTATAGTCACTAGAATAGCAAGTAAGTTCTATAGTAGAATATTTTACTATATCATAATAAAAAAAATCATAATAATTCCAATGCACTTAATTTTAACTACATACTGTAGTCACTGAAATAGCAAGTTTTGTATGAAATTATTTACTGTAACTCACAATAGGAATTATGATTATTCTGATGCAAACTAACTCATCTTAATACATATTGTGGTTACTGGAATAGCAAGTAAGCTTTATAGCAGAATTTTTTCAGCACTCATAATAAAACTATATCAATTCCAATGCAAATCAACTCAATCTTATTTACATACTTATTAGAAATCATGATAATTCTGTTCAAACTCAATCACATATAGTGTTTGTAGTCAATCATTATTTATCGACTTGACTAAGTCGATATTTAAAAAATTAGCTTAGCAGGCTAAGTCAGAGTTGATTATTCAAAGTTCTATTTAATTAAACTTCAGAAGTTATTGGAGATTTTCTCAATCTTTTGCCTCGACTTGCTCATATTTATGTTTATTGATTTTCCTTTCTCAGAAATTTTTGGATTCTAGTAACTGGTTTAAATTTTTAATATAAAATATGGTGGTGCCAGTAGAAAACAAGCAAATTATTACTAACTAAATTTTTTAAAACTTTGAAATAAAATATCTCAACAACTATTCAACCAAACTTGATTAAAATTTTTTTATTTTAATTTTAGGCAGTTATATAATTAAATAAAAAAAATTTATCAAGTTTAGTTTAATAGTAGTTGAGATATTTTGATTTAAAATTTTAAAAAAACTCACTAAAAACAATTTGCTTGTTTTCTACTGGCACCCCCCATATATAGATGAAATTTAACTTTTTTAAAAAAAATCGTAAGGTTCAAAGATCGCTCAATTAAAATGAATTTTAGATATCAAATCATTCATTGTGAAACTCCAAAAGTTATATGAATAGATGTCAAATGACACTTAAATGCTTATAATGATAAATTTTAAATATCAATCTTGTAATTATGATTGGCTACAGTATATCCAACTTGCCAACAAAGTTATATAGTTATTTTATATAAATACATATGAGAACGTTATAATTATTTTACTGTTCTCAAAAAATTTTTTAATAGTGAACAGTAAAAAAACTTATGCTGTGCACAAATTTACAATAGTGCGCGATGATAATATCATCAATTAGTGCAAAGTGCGTACATCTCTAAGTTATTGTGAGAACTTACAATAAAAATTATAGTAATATCATAATCCTGATACGATCTTAATTTTTGCTACATAATAATAAAAGCAATCAAAAAAAAAATAGTTTATTCTATTATTGCTTCACCACGGTACAGTGAAACCTCTATAAATGCACCTTATAAATGCTCTCTCTCTAGGTGCACGCTCAGCCTCTGGCCCAAATATATGCATGATTCCTATAAATACACCTTTTCTTATTATTCTCTAAAAGCACGTTATTAAAGCTCAGTCCAAAAGCCAATTTATGGGGGTTTCATTGTACTTGTTAAGAACTTGAAATACTTCATAATCAACTACTGTAAAGCTTTCACGATTTGCTCTGATTGGATAAGAATAATTACCATCATAACTATAAAACCATTTCTTTGATTTTGGGGGCGGTAATCTTATAAAAATTATTACCAAAATATGGACCATGTGAACTAGAACACCCAATTGCCATATTAACATTATTAACTCTACTGATAATGGAAGCTGGTAATTTTTGGTTTCTTAAAGTAAAAATGAAACTATCTTCTGTACTTAACCATTTAAACAAATTATCAGATGGCCAAACCAATGGATTGTATCCACCAATTATTTCATCTGTCCCATCAATTTTCATGACAATCACTGTACCAGGTATATTATCGCAAAATGTATGAAAATGTTTAGAACTAAATCCAACATCACTTCCTCTAAGAAGTAAATTGAATTCGTAAGGATTGTCTCCAAAAGTATAAGGATTAGGTTGACGATCAATCCAAGATGAAATCTCTAGTACATGTTTCTTGTAAAGAATTTTAGATGATGATCCAGTGGAATAAACTGAATAATTCTTACGAACAGGCGTTGCTTCGATTATTTCTGCCGTTTCGATGGTTTCAGTTGTTCCGATGGTTTCGATGTTAAAGTTTGAAGATTCAATAATAAATGAAGGAACTACTCGAGAAGGAAGTTTATCAGGAATCTTCTCACGGGCTGGTAAAATAATTGAGTTGACTGGCATATCAGGATACATAAATCTTTCAGTAATATCCTCCCATAAATCAGGTTCCAGAATCCGTCTATATGGTTTGACCTTTTCTATGACATCTTTCCCAGGAATTTGGAAATATCGAACTAAAGGAAGACAATTATGAAGAGAAGATTTTAAAGCCAAGAAATTTTCATCAGTCCACCGTTTAAGTTCAAGTGGTAAATTTGGATTTTGCGCTTTTCCCCACTGAATGACTTTATCCCAAATTATAGATTCTTCAGCTTGTAAATCATCTCGCTTTAAAAGAGTTATCAATGCATTTTCTTGAACAGAATTAAAGTTATTAGAATCGAAAATTAAGTTGGGATGCTTAGCAAGGATGTCGGTATAAAAGTTTTGTAAGAACTTAAAATTAACAATTTTAAAACTGATATTATAAACTCGAATAAAATTTAACCGAAGCCAAGAAGAGTTATTATCAATTAGATAATTTTGAAGATATTTAACGAGTTCATCAAAACCCAATTCGTTAGAAGAAATCAAGAGATCAAATATAGTGGAGGTTTCAACTTCTTTGAACGAAATAATGCCAGTATAAATATATCTAAACAAAAAAAAAAAGAAAAAAATTTTTGTTTATTTTATTCCTTTATAATCGACGTTCGCTTAAATTACAATAATTATATATAAAATTATATACCTTATAATAATTTTGAACGTATCAACAGAAAGATGAGGTAAGGTAATTTTAATAATATTATCCTTTTTAGTCACTGTTTCCAATTTCTCACGAAAGAATGATGAACGTTGATACAAAATTAATTTATGAGATTTAAAAAGTTGTTCATTTGGATGTTTTCCAATTTCTATGATAACATCGTAACCATATTCACTTTCGAGAAGTTTGGCAAAATGATTAGAGAAGCTTTCAAGAAATTTAACGTCACCCATTTGGTGAGCAAAGTTATATGAAAATCTAATGTGAATTAAAGTTCATGAGAGCTTGTAATCCTTAGCGTCAAAGATTTGTAATTTTATTTGTTCTTAATGTTACGCGAATATAAAATATACCCGAATTGGAAACAATACCATTATTAAACGCGTAATAGGAAAAGTGTGAAATAAAAATCTTTTATTGTTGTTTTCAAATTTCTTCGTTTATGCTTAGGATATCAGTATTTGATACCGGGAATTCAAATTGTTGATGTTTCTTTATTAAATTTAAACCAAAAATTTGAAAACAACGATAAATAAAATATTTAATGAAAGATGGAAACTAACAGAATATTAAAATATTTGAGTTTAATGAAAGGACGATCTTTGAGATTATAAAGATTGTATACTAATATAACTACTGTATCAGAAAAGCAAGAATAATTATATCAACTTCTAGCTTCAATAGTTGTGCCGAAATCGAAAGTTTGTAGTTTCTACAAAAACTTCAAAATAATTTTTAACTTTTGGCATTTTAAGCATTTTTGTAATAAATCTAATATTAATTATATTTATTTCAACCATCTCCATATTTCTACATATTTTACAGAAACACTTTCTTGCTAATATTATCTATATAGTGTAACATGGGCGCCGTCAATCAAAACGTACCATAGTGAGATTGAAAAAATTGGTATACAAATTAACCGTAATGTAACAACTTACTCAGTATACCCATGTTACGTACAATTGATTTTTTATTAACAATTTTTTAATCTCACTATGATGATGGTGCCCCACATTATTAAGTCAAGCATTAAAATATGTGACGTCACGTGATTGGGTGAAAAAGTTTGAGTGTTATATTACTAATCATAAAGGTTGTTTAATTTTCGCCAGAGTTTTTCTGTTGTCAAAAAACGCGCAGTACGTACTGTACATACGTACATTGCATAACTATAATTCGGGAGTGCAGTGCGTAGATCTAGTTTTGTAGTAAATGAACTGTATACATGATATTATCGTGAATCTAACAATAGATAGATGTTTACAGATAGCTCACTTATAATAGTATTAAAGAATTTTAAGAAAAAAGGGATGTGACAGGGATTGCATACAGTATGAAGGGGGCAATGGGCTAAATCAAAAAATTAGCGTTAAGATCCAATTGTTCCCTAATTTGGGATAACGTGAAGTTGATTTGGGATATTTGGGAATTATTAGTTTAGGTCTTTAATGTTTCAACTTAAACAATTTTTTTAATTTATATACAGTTTATATTAAATTAATTAGTACATACGTACGTACGTAATAACGATAGACCTAAAAAACTTATCTGGTTTTAAACCTAAATTTGGTAGTACGTTCTTTGTTCTAAACTTCTTTTCAAACATTTCTAATTATAACCAAATTTAGTACATGATTGCTAATTAAAAATTAAAGAAGTCAAGAATTTCAAGTTCCCGAAACTTGAACGTGACCTTTATATATATCCAAACAAAGCTTCGAACCGGTTCTAAACATGTTACATAATTTACATTTAAAAATATATATATCCTATATTATCTATAGAAAATTTTATTATTTTTATATCGTTATCATGCGTGCGTGAACACCTACATACATATGTACTGTACGTGCCCAAGTATCTTCAGATCGTTCGCACTATAATTGAAAAGCAGAGGTCTTTATCGATTTTTAACAGCCGCCCTGCCTTGATTAGTGCGTCGGGGGTACGTCAAGTGTAACTCGGATTTGCATGAGGAGAGCATCTTCTTGCGTTGCGAATACAAATTTACTTTGTATTCACAACGCAAGAAGATGCAAATCCGGGTTACACTTGACGTACCCCGACGCACTAATCAAGGCAGGGCGGCTGTAACTAACTTACAACTGATTTCATATGCTTTTATAATTATGACTGAAAATACCGTGAACATACGTCTGTAACTGAATATCCAAAGAAACCAGATGGCAAGAAATTAAACAAGTTAGAAAAGACTATATTCAAATTTTATTTAAGATCAAATAAAGCAGATAACGTTCTCTTGACAAAGAAATTATGAAATATTCCCAACGAAAAAGGAGTGATGACAGTTTGGAATAAAAGAAGTGAATGGTTTATCTTCAAAGTTTTATCTAAAAATGTCTGATAATACTGAAAATTACTTTTACCGCAATCGTAATCAACCAAACCGGGAATTGTATTTTAGTGAATGGCTTCCAATTGTCTATTTACCGAATGTTAAAGTTTTAAGGAAGGCTAACCTTAAAGTAGCAGAGACTCAATATCATCATGAACTTGAGGAAGGTATAGAATTATGTAATAAGATGCAGTTCGAGAAATAAACGTAAACTAAAGGATATTTTGATGCTATATCCAAGGTATGTAATAAAGCATAATTAAATTTTTCTTTGAAAAAAGATGATGAAATACTACATATAAGAGAGTAGTGGAAAACAACATAGGCCTATATTGCTGTCTGTATCCGGGTGTGCGCAAACAAAAATTAAGCGTATGTCTTAGCTTACAGAATGCTAGCACTGTAAGCATCGAAGGGTACAGTGCAGGAGATTTATCGTCCGGTATGGGTTTATCCTATACTAGGTATGATACGGGAAATGCCCTCGTGTAACTCGTCGTCATCCGTGGGCATGAATCTCAAAAAAAAATATGAAAAATGATCAGATTTAATACCAACTGATTTTTAGTGTTGAATTATGAGAAATGCTTATTTATGAATTAGTATACTAAACTATTTTTTTTTTTATTTCAGTCACAACGCCAAAAATTTATAAAGGTGCTTGGGGGATAGAAAAGAAAAGGCTCAAAAATAATATATATTAATGGCTACGTAGCATACAATATAACAGTGTTCTCTGGTGGTTTAAAATGATGATCAAGCTTACCAAATGCTCAAACTTTTGACAAACACTTTCACAGTAAGCTACTAATAAAGTATATTTATTATGTCTAATTAAACTATTTGGACAAATTGAACATTGTACGCATGTCCAAACATAACGAGCTATTACCCGGCCCGTACGGGTCGAAAATTGCTCATAAACCAAAATAGGAAAATTCTATATCGATATCGAATATTACGAAATTTACTTATAAATGTCTAACCTGGTCAAATGGCTATGAATAACATGGGTCAATACAGTAATCTGCTATTTTCCAACGTAGAAAGTGAATAAACTCAAATTACAGCAAAATCGAGAAATTTTTCAGAAAGTTCCGATTTAAATATTTGGAGTACAATCTGCCTATATTAATAGCTCTAATTAAGAGTCATTGCATTAACTTTTAAAGGTTAATTAACTTTAAAAACATTATGATTTTCTGTAGATTGATCCGGGCCAATATCTGACCCACCCGGGTCGGCACTTTCTGACCCGGGTAAGAGCTCTACATAAACCATGTGTATAATGGTTAATTCGAATATTCGAATACAGTCCTTCGAACCTTTAATAACTTTTCCTAGTATAATATTTTGATAACAAATCAATATCGTGGGAAGAAGATTCTAAGTATTGAGCTCCACAAAATCCTTCCATAATAGAATAAACTTTTCAAATAATAGATGTAGAGGCCTTAATAAAGTAATAAAAAAAAAAAAATTAAAAAAAAATATATTGTCTTTTTTAACGTCGATAATAATGGCGTTTAAAATGGAAATGTAGTTGTAAAACTCCACGATCAAAGCTCGATTTGAATCCCTTTTTATGTGAATATTCCCATTCTCGATTAACAATTCGAAAAGCAATATCCTATTTATGAACAAGTAAGATTATATAAGTTAAATGGTTCAAAAAATTTTTTTTAACCCATACAAATAAAAATATTACCTCATAAGGAGGACCAGCTACGAAACGTATTAATACAGTATCATTATTGCCAGATTCTCTCTCAATTTTGTATGTAGGTGCTTTAGTTTTGTCAATCAAATCTGGATAAAATATGTTGAATTTATATCCTTGCACAACTTTCGGTGGAGGGTTATCACTGTCATAATGCGTTTGATTATATTTGTTCCATTCGTATCCTGTGTGAACACGATTGAAGTATCGAGGTTTACGTGGTCTGTATTTATCTTGCCATAAATAAGTCTATTCAATATAATAATGAGCATTAATTTACATATAAATTATTGAAAATAATAATATACCCGCGAAATAACGCGCAGAGGTGTAATTTCGAATTTTGGCCTAAATTAAGCTTAATTCGGGCCAAAATTCGAAATAACACCCAGCGCGTTATTTCGCGACTATACGGTACCAAACAAATTAATCAATTGCTTACCGTTTTGGCCAATTCTTCTTCTATATTGAATATTGCTTCATCTTCATCTAGTTCTTTAGCTGCTTCCCGTTCATACAATGCCTTTGAAACCTATAACAAGCTTAGAATCTTGAAATTGTATACAATTGAATAATACAAAAATACTAAATCACTTACTACAGATTCTTCCTCTTCTTCAATAGTTTGTTTTTTTGGTTGAACCTTCATAGGAATAAATTGGTTACGCAGTACTTCTTTACGTTTTTCTTTCTATATATTTATAAAATATTGAGTAAATATTACTTTTGAAAATGAAAAAAAGTGGTGAAGAACAATTCATACCAATTCCCTTAAATCCTCATCTGGATCAATAATTTCATACTGTTTATCTTCTTTGGACAATCTTGACATCGGTCTAGGACTCATAGATCTATCATATTCTCCAATCGCATATTCAGAAATAACATCTTCCTCAGTCATAGCTTCTTGCCCTTCAGATTCCATTTGAATATGATGATGTGATGCAAGGGCAGATTCTAGCTCTTCTTGCACTTTAATAGCTTCTTGTCTCTGTTTTCTGCGAAGTTGTTCTAACCTTTTTCGTAACACAATCTCATGCATTGCTTTCAGTTTAGCCTATTATTGAACAGTAATTATAATTAAATATGTATAAACAATAAAATATTAACATCATATGAAAACATTATTTAATTAAATACTTTTGATTTCCAAACTGTCAGTGCTTTCAACTGCTGTTCCCAAAATTCTACTTCTACAGCTTCTTTTCCGGATAGTTTTTGTTGAATTTGAGCTTGTAATACATTTAGCTGTTCATAGGTCTTTCCGGAAAATAAATTGTTAATGTCATCTCTTACAGGTGCTATAATATTCATATTCATAGCATGATTCTTTTCTTCCTCTTGGAGCTCGGAAAGTTTATCCTCGCATACTACAATCATTGCCTGTAGGTAGTAATAAACATAAATATAAATATAAATAAATAAATAAATATATAAATTATCATTATCGAGTTTACTAAAGCACATCAGTGATTCAAAAACTAGCTAAATGATCGGTGTCCAGTGCTTTAGGTAAAAATGGTTATTCTAACCTCTAACTTATAATCCTAATCTTAAATTAATAGCAAAATATTTTGTGTTGAGCACTGCACTGGTGTGCTTTAGCACTATTCATTATCATTATAATTAAAATTAGATATTTTTTCATACCCTCCAGAAATCAAGATTATTTGGATTTCTTTCAAGACTCAAATATTTTTGAATGTCATGATGTAATTCTTCAACTTCAGGTAGAGTGAGATTCTGATTGATTGATTGATTGATTAAGTATTGAAGGCCGTCAATTAAATTAAATAATAAATAAAACCAAATTATTTGATGATGTATAAAATTCACACCTCAAATATAGTATATGGTTCATCCATATCAATCTCCAGAGCATCATCAACAACTTCGGATTCATCAGCCAATCGTAAATTAATAGCAAGAATATCGATCGGTTTTGCACGATTTTCTTTGATTCTAATTTCCGCGCGTCGTTTTGCTTGTTCAAGATGGAACTTATAATTAGAAATTTTTTTTTAAGTTTTACGTACTAAAATAAGGTGGTAATAATGAGCATCAATACTTACCTCATCTTCTTTTGACGCCCAATCACCCATTGCAGCAATTTCAGCATCACGTTGCATCCGAGCCTGCGTATTTATAGAATATCAAATATCAGAATAACAAAAAAATTTATATAAACGTATAGAAATATTTAACTATTAAGATATATACAAGTTCTTCTTCACGTAATTGTCGTTCTATTTCACGTTCAGCCCTCCTTTTATTTAACTTTTCAAGTTCAAGCTTTTTATACAATGATAAAATGATTGAATAAAAATTATAATTATTAAGTATATCTAAAAATTTCAAAATATAATTGAGATTTTCCATACCTGTGTTTCTTCACGTCGTTCTTTCTCCCTACGTAAAGCCTCTTCTGGTGATATTCCCTGCTTCTTTTCACGTTCTTTTTTCTTAGTCCATTCAAATTTTATACCAAGATTAGCATCGCCGAAAGGATTATCTGTATTCGAATATGCTGATAATTCAATGTAAGACAATTTATCTTTATGTCGGTCTCGATCCTAAATATTTAAAGAGATATTATTAATTAGCATAAATTATTTTTTTAGTCAGTTTTTTTTTTGCATCTAAATTTCGTACCTTTTTATCTTTTTTCGATTTTTTGACTTTCTCTGATTTTTTTTTGCCATTACTACTATCGCTATCTTCAGACGAATAAGATCTATGTTTTCTTGATTTTCTTTTGCCACTACTGCTATCGCTATCTTCAGGCGAATAAGATCTACGTTTTTTTGATTTTTTTTTGTGTTCTTTTTCTTTTCCTTTTTCACTCCATTGATCTTCTTTATAATCTTTATAATTCATTTTAAGATCTACCTAAAAATGTCCAGCGATTGGTTATAAAAATTATGTTATATACAAGGTATTAATACTGAGGCACAGTAAACTTGCACGGGAGGTTTAAAGAAACTCGCATAACCTAGTACAAAGAAATTTCCATTGGTCAATTGGGCATCATTTATATATTGCACAAACTAAGTTACACACTAATTCCGGTAGGATTATGTTGGCCAAACTATCATAATGTCTGATGCTGACAATGTAATTACAAAATAGATCATAGTAAAGCAGGCCGGCTTTGTATTTAGCCAGCATTAAGGTTATTAAAGGATGAATTTTTATGATTATTATACATTACTGCATTATACATAACTTACCTTACATGGTAACTTACATAACTTAAAATGTAACTTACATTTTAAAATAACTTACAATAAGTTATACAACCCTAGCTGGAATGTAGTAACAGTTTTTGATTATACTTATTTAAGTTCAATAATTTCATTTTATTCGCGATCGTTCATGCCACTGAGTGACGAAAGTCATACCCGGGTCAATCACCTGATATCGACCTCACATAGAGGGAGAGATATATATTTGTGAAGGGAATGTACTTTGAAAATAGTGGATCAGTCCGTAACATAACCATAACGCCTTAGCCAGTTATGCCAGATCGGTGGAATTTGGGGATACAATTTTATTATCATTTGACCTACAAGCCACCCCAAAAATCGAACTTTTTAAATTTTTTAATCTCATCGCTATAATAATTATCATAATAAACTAAGTGTCAAACCAATTCCCAATGTCAAAACCAACCTTTTGTCTATATGTGCAAGGAAAGCCACTCGAAAGCTTCGAAAAGCTAAGTATCACCTCATATGATCACGAAACAAGCAAATCAGGTACGTACCTGTCCGATTTGATAATGTAATCGACATATAAAAATTTTTACAAAAAAATTCCTAATACCTTATTGTAAATCCTGTTCACGACGAAAAGTAGTCGATGCTTTCGAAAATAGCAATAAAACAATTTATGCTTGGAGCATAAATATTTAAATAAAGGAAAAAGAAAACATGAAGAGCAATAGATAATTTAACAAGAATCGCAAAAATATTGTAGAGCCGGAAGAGTTTGATAGTTTATAAAAAACTCATGGAAGTTGAAATTAAAATAATGGACAAAAGAATCTAGAAATGTTAATGTATACGTATTATAAATAATCTGCTGGCTTATTTTACGTAAATAAAATATTTATTATATTTTATATAGGCCTTTTACTTGATTAGTCTCGTGAACTTCTGAATCAAAAAAAAATGTTGAATCAAACTTTGTAACGCTTCAAAAAATGATGAAAGATATAAAAATTTGGAGCAAGAAGAAAATATTCTGAAAACATGAAGTGGAAGTAATAACACCTTTTATTGGCAATAAATTAAAATAATTGCGAAATATGAACCATAGTTTAAATTATAATGATTCGAACAGTGAATTTATAATTTCATTATTATTATTATTTTTTCGAATTTTTATTTATATAAACTTAATTTCAATATAAATCATGTCTTTTAAATTTTCGATCTTTAATTCGAATAGTATCTCAAATAAAATAATATTTAATTTTCGAACTAACTGATTTGGGTGGTAATACTAGGCGGGTTCTCATATAATAATCAACCACTTTTATTAACAAAATGAGAAATCAAATTGCATCAAATGATTTATGCCTACGTATTATGTTTACAGTAAACAAATTATATTTACTATTCTTCACATATTTATATAATATATTTTATGTTCTGGCAAAAGCTACAAAATTCTACAAGAATGAACGTGTATTTGTTGTTAATAACATTGTAAAATGGACGTTGTGGCTAATTATTTTTTTTAAGCAAATAAACTTATTATATATATATATATATATATAGTTAAGCAATTGTAATTATATAATAATGAAAGTTTATGAAGTGAGTATTTTTTCTTTAAAAGTTATCTTTATGAAATTTGGTGAATCGGCATTTAGCACTAAATTTAAATTTTAGTCTCAGCGCCAATGTTTTAAAAGTTTTTTAAAAAATTTTAAACTGTTTAAACCGTTTTTTTTTTTTTTTTCCATCCCTACATAACACTAATGAAATCTAAATTTTATAATTTATAAAATAATACTTACCATTTTGTGTGAAGTTCAAACTTTATTATTTGCAGTAGACGTTGGAATTCGAGGCCTATTAATCTTTGAGCAAGGTTACAATATGAATTCGTATAAGTAATTTTATTAACAGGCTTTGCTTTTGAGTTTAAATTTTCTCTCTTTTAAAAGCATACTGTGTGTACTAAATAATAATTGTAAAGGTCGATATAATAAACTTTTCAATCGGTCAGGAATTACCTTGCAACATTTGATCCGAAGCGTAGCGAGGACTTACCGTTATATGTATATGTAAAAGTTGAGGGTCTGCCCGCCACGTGATATTATTCTTATTGGCCGATAATTAAATCAGATCTGCTATTTTTTATGATCCTGTTTTTTTATTTATTCGATTTTTTACTGCATTTTTCAATTTACATCATTTGTAAATTAAAAATAATATATATACATATATATATCGATATGTTATTTTAAATCGATATAATTTTGTAAAATATAAAAATTTTAGATTTGCATATTGCTTTGATTACATGAATTTCAAGCAAAGAATAAAAAAAACCCAAATAGAAAAAGAAAATTTTCTTGTGCATAGTAAATTATTATCGCGGTTTTTGAAATGGTTGAAATAGCAAATAAATTTTTTTTTTTTTGACGAACAATCAAACCTTAGCATGTTTACCTTAGCACGTTGATTGAAGACTAATCTATTTGTTTGATAAACAATTTAATTACTGATCCGGATAAGATCAGCACTATTTTTATATAAGAATTTGGGGCAAAATACTATGATTTTTATTATA